TCAGGGTGTTTATCTCCCACCCCTTCAGCCCCTCTCCCCCTCCCCTGGTTTTTAATTTGGAGCATCCGTCTGGAGCATCCCGAGATGGGGACGTCTGCAGTGTGAATGCATTGAGCTGCTGACAGCTCCATGGATTTTCTCTCTCCCACTGCATAATGCAAGATACATACAAGCCGATAGGCTGGCCCCTGTCCCTCACTTTGAAGGGACTGTGCCCTTTCTCTCTCTTACTCCCACGTCCCCTCACCCCTGCACACGTTGATATATGGGGGGGGGGGACTGTCCTTTACGCTCAAGATGGATTCCCCTCTGCCCGGTATCATTTTCTTCAGCAGCGGATGGCACCTAATCTATCCTTTTTACGGTAGCGGATTGGACACCACGGAAGCGGTTCACAGACTGAGGGGTCCGGGCGAGGGGGGTGGGGGTGAGGAGGTGTCATCGGGCGGGGCTCCCGCCAGATAAGCCCAGGCCGGCTTTCCGAGGGGTGCCCTCCTCCACCTGCCTCGCCTGCCACCTCTGGGGAGGGAGGGACGCCCAGCCCTGGGCCTGGCCTGCTCTGCCCCAGGTGGTGGCTCTGCAAATCCGCTGGCAGCTCCTGCCCGGGACTCGCATTCAACTCACGGTTCCAGAGCCAGCTGCTGGGCTAAGCACTTTCTGCTCCTCGTGTCCTCTGGTTTCTCATAAGCGGGGCAGCCGCAGACGGTTGTGCAGGTTGCGCAAAATTGGCGCGGTGGCCCAGAAGGCTTGGCAGGAGCGCAGGGTGCCCCTCCACAGCGGAGACCGAGGCTCAGAGATGCCGCCGAGGCTCAACGTCTCCCAGCCAGACTCAGGATCTGAACCTGAGACTGTCTCCAGAAATAGTTGTTGTTGTTGTTGCTGTTGTTTTCTTGTCTAGGCTCCAGGCCCAGCGTGGAACCCAATGTGGGACTTGAACTCATGACCCTGAGGTCAGACCGGAGCTGAGATCAAGAATTGGATGCTTAACCGACTGAGCCACCCAGGCACCCCAAAACACCTTTCTTCCCATCCTATAACCCAATGCCTCGTCCAGGAAGACCTCTTGGATTGATGCCACCCAGTCTGATCACCTCTTCCTTCCAGCCCTCCTGGAATTCATCTGCCTTGAGGGTTTGCATATTCTGGCAGGCTGATCTGAGGCTGCAAGGGGGGCGGGAGGCGGCGGGGGGGGGGGGGGCTCCTTTCCCTTGTGAATCAGCGTCGTGGTGCCTTCCTCCTGGAGGATTTCCCTGGGGCCGCCCCATCCCCAGCCTGGATCAGCACCCCCCCCGCCCCACCCCACCCAGGGCCCCCACCTGGTCCCACCGTGAGGAGCACAGACTGCACTTACCACCACCACCTGTGCCAGTCTGGGAGTCCCTTGAGATGCGGACAGATCGGTGGGATCTGTGTTGTCACACCTACAGGGGCCTGGCACAAAGCTGGGCTGAAAGGATGTCGCTGTGACAGGGAAAGCGCCCCGCACAGGGCCTGGCTGACAGCGGCCTCCCGGGAACTGGCTGGAATCCATTTCATCTGTGAACTCCCGGGGCAGGTGGCCGTTCACCCCCTTACGCACCCCTTAAGGTCGGGGCGCGGGGTGGGGGGCCGAGAGCCCTTTCTCCCACCCCACCCACCCCTACGCCAGGCCTCCAACCCACTGAGGAGGAGAATCCTCTTCCTACGTTTGTGAGCTTCCGGCCCCCAGGGCTGCCCTGTGTTCCCCGCGCCCCCCTGACACCCCACCCTGCCAGCTGGCCAGAGCCCCAGGCCGGCAGTGGAGGAGGCTGATCCTTGGAGCAGCCCAGACAAAGGATCCCTGGGCCGCTCAGCGGTTTAGCCCCTGCCTTCAGCCCAGGGTATGATCCTGGAGACACAGGATCGAGTCTCACGAGTCTCACGTTGGGCTCCCTGCAGGGAGCCTACTGCCAGAGGGACTGCAAACTGCCCCCCCCCACTGAAAACCCACAGGATTTAATACAAACACCCCCCTGTATCCCCCACCCCTGCCCCAAGGTGTCTTGAGGGCCAGTCCCGCCGGCAGCCAAAGGCAGGTGCCTCCTGGAGGTTATTAAATGAGATAGTAGATACGAAAGCACCCCATCAGGGATGAAATACCGTGCACACATTCCTTGTCCTTATATGAGTACTTGCAGCCCCCCCCCCCCCCCATTCTGGAAGGCACAGGAGCATTTACTTTCCTTGTCCAGGCAGGGCCTTGGTGCCGCCTTCCGGCCACTGCTGGGCACTACATCCAGAGCCTGGGGCTGTTTCCAGACCTCCTGGAGCCGATCTGGACCGCCTGGGCCTTAACTTTTTCATGTATCCCATGGAGCCTTCATAGAAGCCCCATGAGGAAGGAGAGAGGTCGTATCACCCCACACACTTTGCATTAGAAGCAAGTACATGAAGGAGCCAAGCCTGGACCTTCCAGGACCTTGAGGGGGCCACGTATTGTTGGGAAAGGGTCCCTTATTGCCGTCTAATAAAACCTTAGTCATGAGACCCTTCCAATGTACGTGGGTGGGTCATATGCTTGGGGGATGATTGCCAATATTTATCTTGCGGGGAGGGGGGGTGGAAATAAAACTTCTCTTTTTAATGTATTTATTCATGAGATACACACAGAGAGAGGCAGACACATAGGCATGGGGAGAAGCAGGCTCCCTGTGGGGAACCCGATGAGAGACTCGATCCCTGCACCCCGGGATCGAGACCTGAGCAGAAGGCAGATGCTCAACCACTGAGCCACCCAGGCGCCCCTCAAGAAAATTTCTAAAGGAATTTTTGTGTGTTGAAGTAGACTTACAGGAAAAAGAAAAAAAATTTTTAAAAAAATCAAAAAATAAAGTAGACTTCTAGGATCCTGGGGGTCAGGCTAAGATTGCCTTTTGCCCTATAGCAAAGTATTAGCATCGAGGCAGCTGCGTCCCCAGAGGAAGGTCACTCTGCCTGTTTTGGGGACTTGTCAATGGGCTGTAGGTAGTGAGGACACGTAATAATTTCTCTTCTGCCTTTGTTTCCCACATCAGCGTCAGCAAGGAGTACCTACCAGATGATTGATTGATTGATTGATTGATTGATTGAAAGATAAAACCTCGAGAGTTATCAACAGAACGCTGAGCCCCATTCTTATCTTCAAAGAAAAGTCAGCACAAACGTCTCCAAAGTTCAAACTGTCACACAGTTTATCAGGAGGAGTGTGCAAGGACCTGCTGCAGGAGTGACAAGTGACAGGCAGTGGAGGTGAAGGGTCCTGCTGGGCAGGACTTAGTATCGGAAGGGGCAGCACAAGCAAGTGCCTGGAACCACCTGGAAGGGAGGCTGGCTGCCTGTGGCTGAGCCGCGGAGAACAAAAGACCAGAAAACCATCAGCCTGGGATGGAGGACGCCTGGCAAAACCAGGCTGTGGAGTTTGGGGATGTGTTTCTCGGGTCAGAGCTGAGGGCCCCACGATTCCCAGACTGGACCCCGACCTTCAGGCAATGTAAAGTTAGGCTCCCCCCCCCCCATGAACATTTCCTACTGTTGACACCCAGATGGATCTGGAGTTAGACACACACAGCTCGGCTTCTTTTAAGAGGCTCCCTACACCGTCGGAGCACTTTGTGACCTCCCCGGGGCAAGGACAGCCGGTTCATCCCTCCCTGAGTCCCCAGTATGTCTTTTTTTTTTTTATTTTATTTATTTATGATAGTCACACACAGAGAGAGAGAGAGGCAGAGACACAAGCAGAGGGAGAAGCAGGCCCCATGCACCGGGAGCCCGACGTGGGATTCGATCCCGGGTCTCCAGGATCGCGCCCTGGGCCAAAGGCAGGCGCCAAACCTCTGCGCCACCCGGGGATCCCCCCAGTATGTCTAGGAAGATGCTCCAGCTGGGACCCTCTAAGGGAAGGAAGGGAGGGAAGGAAGGAGGGATGGAGAAGAGTGAGGTCAGTGTAAAGTTCACGGCGAGGCAGTCTATCCCTTCGGGTGGGCCTCTGGGTGATGATAAACACGCGGCAATTACATCCTGTTGTGCAGTTATTAAACTGGGGCAGCGGGGGGGGGAGCAAATAGAATCAAACGTGGACGTTTGTAGAGAGATCGAAACATAGAAATCAAAGGGAAGGTAAAAGTAAAATCGATAACATGGGGTTTCCCGGAGCCTGCCTGAAAAGACGCTTCTGTGAGAGCGGAGGGTGGATGCTTGCAGAGAAAACAATCCAGACGCGGTATGGAGCTGGGGGGACCCGAACCCAAGCCGCCTGCCCAGAGCTGCCAGCCCCGGCCCTGGTGCACCGGCTCCCAAACAGCCTCCAGGAGCCTGGGCCTGGGATCTGCCCTCTGTGGGTTCCAATCCCGGCTTCACCCCTTCCTGCAAGGACAAGCCTTCCTTCTCCCCGGCGGGCGAAATTGGGGTGAAGACAAGAGCCACCTCTCCCTGGTGCCCCTGGAGATGGGAGACCCCAGGGGATAGATGCCCCATTTAAGTGCCCCATGAATGTCAGCGACTGGGAGGTATTAATTTACCCTCATGCACACCTGTTCTTAAAGGAACTGGAAGAGGCAAGTGGAAAAGAGGACCTTGCAAGCTCGGGACAGGTTAGGGGTCTGCAGAAAAGGTGACCACAAGGAAATAGGAGAAACCCCTACAAAGAGGCTCACAAATGCACACGGGGCGGGGGGATCCCTTTATTTAAATGGGAAAAAGAAAAATCTCTGCAAAAGATGCTCAGTGCACACGTCTAAAGAGAGTGGTGGATAATAAGTGTTGGGTCTTTAAACCGGATGTGAGATCAAGCCTAGCAAAGCGGAGGAGGGGGCTGGGGACGGGGAAGGAAAAGACAGTGGAGGGAAGGGGCAGGGGAGGGAGGCGGCCCATCGTTTTCTTCCTGGTCGGCACTATTAGACTCGGCCGGTAGGGGGCAGAGGCGCTGCCATGGGAAAGGACCAACGCCATCGCAATTCTTGACCCTCGGCAGACACCGTACCCGGTTTCCTTCGAGGGCGGGGTTAACCGCCCGGAAACGGAAGTCTCGCTCTCTTCCGTTCTCCGTTCCTGCCGCCTGCTGTGAGTGTCTCTGCGGGTAAAGGGGAGCCTGGGGGGCCATCCGGGGTAATCCGCGAGTGGGTGAGGCCTGGGGGCCCCGGGCGTGGGCCGCGGGTGCGGGGAAGGAGCCTGGAGCGCGGCGGCCTGGGCATTTCGGCGCGGGGAAGGAGGAGAAGCGGGGTCGTGGCCGCTCCCCGCGCCCCGCTGACGCCGACGTTTGTGTCCCCGCAGGTGCCGGCCGCGCGCTGACCCCCGCGACCCCCGTTGCCATGGTGAGTGTGGCCCGCGCTGGACCCCCTCGGGGAGGGCGGCGGGCGGGGGGGCCCCCGGTTCCCGCGAGGAGCTGGTGGCGGTGCTCGGGTCACGGCCGGAAGCGGCGTCCGCGCAGCTCACCAGCGCTGGCTTTGCGTTGCAGCCTCGCAAAATCGAGGAAATCAAGGACTTCTTGCTGACGGCCCGGCGGAAGGACGCCAAATGTGAGTGGTCGGCCCGCCCGGCCGTGCGGCCGCGTGCGCCCCGAGCAGTCGCGCCCTGGTCTGTAACTCTGCTCCCCTCCCCCATCCCGCAGCATCCCTACCCTGGTCCTTCCCTGCTCCCTAACCCTGCACCTTCTTGCAGTCCCTCCCCTGGTCTGTAACTCTGCTCCCCTCCCCCCCCCATCCCGCAGCATCCCTACCCTGGTCCTTCCCTGCTCCCTAACCCTGCACCTTCCCACGTCCCTCCCCTGGTCTGTAACTCTGCCCCCCCCCCATCCCGCAGCATCCCTACCCTGGTCCTTCCCTGCTCCCTAACCCTGCACCTTCCCACGTCCCTCCCCTGGTCTGTAACTCTGCTCCCCCCCCCCCCCATCCCGCAGCATCCCTACCCTGGTCCTTCCCTGCTCCCTAACCCTGCACCTTCCCACGTCCCTCCCCTGGTTTGTAACTCTGCCCCCCCCCCATCCCGCAGCATCCCTACCCTGGTCCTTCCCTGCTCCCTAACCCTGCACCTTCCCAGGTCCCTCCCCTGGTCTGTAACTCTGTTCCCCCCCCCCCAATCTCACAGCATCCCTACCCTACACCTTCCCTGCTCCCTAACCTTGCACCTTCCCACGTCCCTCCCCTGGTCTGTAACTCTGCCCCCACCGCCACCCCCATCCCGCAGCATCCCTACCCTGGTCCTTCCCTGCTCCCTAACCCTGCACCTTCCCAGGTCCCTCCCCTGGTCTATAACTCCCCCCCCCCCCCCCCCCAGTCTCACAGCATCCCTACCCTAGACCTTTCCCTGGTCCTTCCCTGCTCCCTAACCCTGGACCTCTCCATCGCACTCTAGATTTCACCCCATCTCCACCTTGGGACCCCCACCCTGGCCATGCCCTAGACCTTCCCGCAGTTCTTCCTCCGGTCTCTAACCTAACTCTGGACACACACACACACCGTCACTGTCCTAGACCTCCCTCCAGTTCCTTCTTAGACCTTTCCCGCCAGACCCTCATTTCTGGAGTATCAGACCGAGGGCAGCTGTTGAAGCCTATGCCTGGCTGCCAAGAGCAGGGATTTTCTCCTATTTCCCAGAAGAAAGAACTTTGTTGGGTAGTGTGTTCCCTTCTTAATTGTGAGCATCTTTTTTTTTTTTTTTTTTTTTTTTAATCGTGAGCATTTTTTAATCCATCCTTATTTCAGAAAAGGCACATGGTCTGAACAGAGTCCTTAACTAGGTGCAAGTCTGGAAACGCATGTCCGGGAACCCTGACCTTGGTGCCACGATGGGTTCTGGGCCCGCTTCTCCTGATACAGGCCCCGCACAGGGAGTTGTAGGAGTTAGTTTCCCTCGCCCGTGAATAAGGAAAAGGGGACAATGCATCAGAAGCCTACAGCAGCAAGCTTTGGGTGGATCAAGTACCAGCCCCCGGTGCCCTGTGTTCTCACTGGTGCACCCCTGGTGGGAGGGGGGCTCATGCTTCGTACTTTGTAGATCTTGAAATCACATGGGGGGGCGGGGTAGTCCATAGTCTTCATTTGCTGCCACATCAAATGCTCCTTAAAGCTTCCTTTCCTGCTCACAGATGTGTCATCAAGAGAACATCAGTCATTTGTGAAAGTAGATCCGTGTTCTGCTGACGCTTGAAGTGGCCAAGGCCCTAATGCTCTGTCAGTGGAAGGATGAAGTGGTGGGAGCATGGGGAGAGCGCTGTAGTGGGTTCATGGGGATCTGGAGGGTCCTGTTAGTGTCCCTCTGCCTGTGATCCTCTAGGACTGTTTGAATGGTTGTCATCTCTGGGAACAGGTAGGAGCATCTGCCCTGTCCGATTCTTTTTTTTTTTTTTTTTTTTTAAGATTTTTATTTATTTATTCATGAGAGACACAGACAGGCAGAAACACAGAGGGAGAAACAGGCTCCCTGCGGGGAACCCTGGGATCCCGGGACCCTGGGATCATGACCTGAGCCGAAGGCAGACACTCAACCACTAAGTCACCCAGGCATCCCATGCCCTGTCCGATTCTTCAGAGACCAGTGACCCTGTCGTGCTATAAAGAGAGGTTATTGTGACTGTCTCGTTCAGACTGGGGACATTGGGGTCACTGCCTGGCTCTAATCCTAATTCTGTCAGGTAGCTGTCCTCAACACATGTAAACACAACACTACCTTTTTCCTCCATTGAAGGGAGGGGCTGATAATAGCATCTGTCCCAGGTATTGGTGCAAGGCTCACATCTCAAGGACCCTTGAGACTCCTCACTATGATGAAGAACTGGAATTCAGGATCCTGATTTTAGACCGAGTGGCCTGTGAGGGTCCGGGGTTATGGTCCTGTGGACACCGTAGAGTGTTCAGTGTTGGTTGAGTCAGCATTTCAAAACGTTCATAATTATAAATATGCATAACACAAGCCTCACTTAGGTGTACAGTCCACTGGCACTGGAGACCTTTCGAGCTACATTTTCTGAACTTGTGATCTTGCAAAACTGAAACTACACTCAAACACTAACTCGCCATCCTCTCCCTCCAGTGCCCAGATTCCTCCATTCTGCTTGCTTTGTGGATCTGACTGCTCGAGATGCTCCAGTGAAGGAAATCAGTGTTTGTCCTTGCGTGACTGGCTGGCTTCGTCTAGCCAGGGTCTTCGGGTTCATCCGTGTTGTGTAGCATTTGTCAGTTTCCTTTTTAAGGCCAAATACTCCCATCATGTGGGTGTGCCACAGCTTGTTCATCCAACGTGGACATTTGGGTGGTTTCTACCTTTTGGCTATTTCGAATCCTGGTCCCTTGAACATTGGCGTACAGATTCCTTGTTTCTGCCCCCTAAGTGAAGTACTGCGCAGTACGGTGGTGTGGGATAAAGCTTTTTCTTTAAGAGCTCCACGTGTCTTCCCTTACAGATGTTCAACTTAATTGGGAGGCATCCGCCAGCTGCTAGGGGCCATGCAGTGCACTTAGCTTTAAGAGGAATGTTAAGATAGCAAAACAGGTTGATTTGAATGAATACCCAGTTTGTTGAATTTATTAAAACAAGCTGAGGCAGCCATGGCCTTGGGCAGGCTTGAGTGCTTTCTCCTGTGATGTGCCTCATTTCTTCAGTTTCCAGCAGAGATGGAGTTGTGAGTCTAGGTTAATCTCCCTGCTTCTGTGGGGGCTGAGTGCGTGTCTGGTCAGGCACACAGGCTGAGACGCTGGAGCCTCAGAGTGGACCTTAGCCACCTGATTCATGATTGGCACTTCAGTGAGTTTGTAATAATGGTTGTTTTTAAAATTAGAATGAGTGACACCTGGGTGGCTTAGTGGTTGAGCATCTACCTTTGGCTCGGGGCATGATCCCAGGGGTCCTGGGATCAAGTCCAACATCAGGCCCCCTGCAGGGAGCCTGCTTCCCTCTGCCTGTGTCTCTGCCTCTCTCTGTGTCTCATGAATACATAAAATCTTTAAAGATGAGTTTTGATGGATACATGAAATGACTAACTTTCAGGAAAGTCAGTGTCCTCCAGTGGCCAGAGCCTGGAAAATGGGTTTTAAAATGTAAGGAAAAGCTTTAGCGCTTAACTCGGGCAAGGGGGTGGGTATCCTAAAGGAAGTGGTTGCCATTGCCCCAGGGGCGGAGAACCTATTCCCAGAATTAGAGAGGTAGAAAGTTCTTGATCAGAGCAGATAATCCACTTCCTCATTTGATGAGGTACTGTTAATCCTTTAAAAAATAAGATGGATAGGGACAGCCTGGGTGGCTCAGCGATTGAGCGCCTGCTTTAGGCCCAGGGCGTGATCCCAGGGTCTGGTAATCAGAGTCCCAAGTCCTGCATTGGGCTCCCCACTGGGAGCCTGCTTCTCCCTCTGCCTGTGTGTCTGCATCTCTCATGAACAAATAAATAAAATCTTAAAAATAGTAAGATGGATACAGAATGGTCTCGGGTGGTGTTCCATGTAGCAGATTCCTATGTTTTTGTGTGTAAACCAGTTAACGTTAAGTCTTAAGCCCTGACACTAATATAAAGGAACTGTAGGTTTCTGACACTCTAAAATATTGAAGTCTTAGAGGACCTCTGGTTTTCTGTTTCCACAAAGGGGACGATACAGGGAGGTAAGCACAGCCCTGACCATGGTTGCTGCCACAAATGTCGCTTTTCTGCATAAATTTAAAATGGGTGAACTGCGTGATGGCTTTTCTGCAATAACTTTAGTTGCCAATTCTGGTCTCTTTGGTAGCCGTCAAGATCAAGAAGAATAAGGATAATGTGAAGTTTAAAGTTCGATGCAGCCGATATCTTTATACTTTGGTCATCACAGACAAAGAGAAGGCAGAGAAACTCAAGCAGTCTCTGCCCCCAGGTAAGCGAGCCTGGAATCCTGGGGGGCTGATCAGAAATACGGAAGGTGCGTGCTTCGCTGTTGCGTTTCTTGAGTAGTCCCGAGATTGAGGAAAGTCCATTTTGCAGCTTGTCTTAATATCTCTCTTGCTGTTGGTAGTGCAAGGAATGAATACTTGTGGTCCTCAGACTTTACATCCCATACCGGAGTGTTTCCCTGGCCAGAGGACAGTTTGTTTTACTCCTGTCCGTCCTTTCCTGACACAGAATAGTAACAGCTAACACTCTGTGGGTAACTCTTCCGTCTCCCCACAACCCTACGAGGTAGATGCTGGTACTGATCCTCAGTTTGTTTTTTTTTTTTTTTTTAAATTTTTTTTTTTTTTTTATTTATGATAGTCACAGAGAGAGAGAGGCAGAGACACAGGCAGAGGGAGAAGCAGGCTCCATGCACCGGGAGCCCGACGTGGGATTTGATCCCGGGTCTCCAGGATCGCGCCCTGGGCCAAAGGCAGGCGCCAAACCGCTGCGCCACCCAGGGATCCCGATCCTCAGTTTTGCAGATTGGAAAATTAACTACTGTAGGCCATGAGCCTAGGTTTAGCCATCCTGACTGCAAGGAGATGGCCTAGGGTGCAGAGTGGTCTCGGAGGCTGCTGCTTCCAGTGGAAAGGTCTCCAGTGTAGCTTGGCTTTCTAAGAACTTCTTGAGAGCTCTTCATGAAGGCCGAGAGAGGGAATGTGTGTTTTGGTTGTTTTTGTTTATCAAACACTAACTTGGTTTTATGTTTTACCCCCTTAAGGTTTCTTTAACTTAAGGTTATTTTAGAGAGAAAACATGGTGGGGGTGAAGGGGGCAAAGGGAGGGAGAGTCCTAAGCAGACCCTGCTGAGCGTGGAGCCCCACATGGGACGCGATCTCACAACCCTGAGATCACAACCTGAGTGGAAACCAGGAGTCAGATGCTAAACCCATTGTACCATCTAGGCACCCCTAACACCAACTTAATTTTTTTCCCTTTTTTTAAATTCATTTTTCTTTTTTTTTTAATTTTTTTTATTGGAGTTCAATTTGCCAACATATAGCATAACACCCAGTGCTCATCCCAAGTGCCCCCCTCAGTGCCCATCACCCAGTCACCCCAGCCCCCCACCCACCTCCCCCCCACCTTTTTTAAGAGTGAGCATGCAAGAGGGGCAGAGATTGAGGATTTTAAGCAGGCTCCATGCTCAGTATGGAGCCTGATGTGAGGCTTGATTTCACAATTTCAATTAACTTAATATTTTAAGCACAACCACCATTTTCTGCTTAATCTCTGAGTTTTGTTCACCCTTATTAGCTTGAGTACAAAATCCAGACAAGCAAGAGTAACTAAGTAAAATGTGTATGTTCGAGGTGACTCACTTTTGTATCTCTTTTCCTCTAGGTTTGGCAGTGAAGGAGCTAAAATGAACCTGGCCTGATTTGAACTGTATTAAAATTTTTGGAATTCTTATAACGTCTTTTGTCTTTGAGGATGGGAAGGGAAATATTACTTGGTCATGGCTTTGGGTGGGAACCGGGGGCAAGGGGGGGGGTGGCTCCTGGTTGCCACCTATTTGCATCCCTCATCTTAGGCTGTGACTTCAGTGGGCAAGTAAAACCATCCTCTTTTTAGCCTAAGTTTGAAAATAAGTAGATGGAAACAGAAGAGCCAGATACTTGTGGAAGTAACCCAGGATGCCCTCATAGGATTTAAAAGTCATTTAGGTAAAGTGAGCTTCCTATTAATGAAGATAGTAGTTACAGGGTGGAGTTGATTAGCTTCTTGGAAATAGCTACAGGCTGAGCCATCCCACCCTCCTAACGGAGCTCTGCCTTCAGATCCACCGTGTAGGAGAGGCGTGAGGCTTTTTATTCAGACTAAGACCCTTTGTTTCCTAAGTGCTGCTCAAGGTAACATGGAGCTTAAGAACATTTAGGGTGTGATAAGATGATTGGTAAGAGCAGGTGAGTGTTAGTCCAGCAAAGCGGGCCACCCAGGGAAGAGGAACCAGGAACAAGATCTGGGACTGAAAGACCAGTGTGTTAAATCCAGGTGAAAGTTGGGGAGGAACCAGGGTTCCTGCAGGAAATGTGACCCTGGGCCTCATGGCAGTAGGGTGAGGGGTGTGAGTGGCCCACCGCTCGTAAGGGCCCAAAATCCCAGCATGAAGGCAGCCCAGGTCCCAGCCAGCCCCAACTCCTTGGGGATTGAATCCAGGTTCTGCCTGCCAACTAGCATGCTCCCGAGAAATGACCTCACTGTTGAGGGCTGTGCACCGATAACCAGCCCCAGGGAAGAGCTGCAAGTCTCTGCCCAGAGTCACGGAAAAATCAAGAAGGGGAAAGTTCTCAGAAGAGGCCCTGAGATCAGCTTTGATGGCGGGCGACGGCGCCTCGTGGAATCTCCAGGGGCAAGCAGTGGGGTTGGGCCTCCGCCTCCTTTTGGTGCACAAGGTTTTAATCAGAGGAAACCAGGAACGCTGCCTCCGCGGGCCGGGCGCCCGTGCGCAGGGCTGGTTCATAGGCGGCTCAGTGGGGTCCGCCAGGCTGCCTTTCCCGACATTGCCCGAGTTTCCGTGTGGTTGTGGCACATCCCGCATTGACAACCTCGGTGGTCTGTCTTGGGGGGGAATGAGCTAAGAGTGACGGTTCTGTTCCTTTGTGGCACCTGGCAATTTGGAGATGAGTGCGGGTCATGTCTGGACAGGCCGCCAGGTGGCGACACACTCCGAGTGAGCGGTCTCCAGCGCGGGTCTAGAAATGGTTACGGGATAAAATCCCCTCCCAAGTAGCCTAGTGCCTGAATTAGCTGCAGTGGCTTTTTTTTTTTTTTTCCCTACAGAAGTTGTAAGGCTGTAAGGGAACCTGAATCCAGTCGTGAGAGGCGTGGGTCTCTTCAGGGTGCTCAGCGACCGACCCAGGATGGAGCGGCCTCCGTGGCTTCCAGGCCTCCCCGTTCTCTGGGTGTTCGAGATTCCCAGGCAGAGGGAAGGCTTGCCACTTGGGCTCCCTTTGTCCCGGCACATTGTGCAGAGACAGGCCCCAGCTCCTAGGAGACAAGCCCTGCGGCATGTGTCTGGCCTCCGTGCCTGGGAACGCACCCTTTCCTGCCAGGGTTCTCAGCCCTGGCTGGTGCCTTGGAGCCATTTGGGGCGCTTGCTCAAAATTCACCACGGTGGCCAAGGCTGACCGCAGACGTTCTGATTAAGTTGGTTTGGTGCCCAGGTAGACGTTGAGCCCTCAGGTGGCCAAAGCAGTTGCCGAGGTCCGCTTGTCGGCCCGGGTGAGCCCCGTGCTGCTGCACACGGCCTGAGTGGCCAGGTGTGGGCCGCGGGGCTGGTTTGGAACGGGCAGAAGTGCTGTTCTCACGTCAGCTCCGTGAAGAGTCCCGGAGGTCTCCTGCTCCTGTTCTCTGCTCCGCTCCGCAGGCTCGCCTGCCTAGGTCAGCAGGCCTCTGGGGAAGAAGCCAGAAGGATCACTGTCTAGCTGGGTGCAGACTGGCAGAGCAGGTTTGGGTGTTGGTTGCTGCACCCACTTGGCTGCAGCGCTGGTCCTGAGGGCGAGCCTTGGTGGTCTGTCTTCAAGCCTGTGTGCAGGCCTGCCCCTTGCCCCACCTCCTCCCTCTCTGGGACCAACCCCCTCCCCCTTGGGCAGGACTCCCCTGTACCAGGTTCAAGGTCAATCCTCAGGGCCAGCGGCTCCCAGGAGCCAGACCCTCCCACTGGTATCTTGCCCTCCCTCCCCTGCAGGCTTACAGCTACTGTTGTGACTCTAATCTTCTAGAGGAATGCCAAATCCCCAAACTTCCGGCGCGTTTCAGGAGGCAGGATCAGCAGCTGGGGCCTTCTGTGCTGTCCGCAGGGAGAGAGACAGGAGGGGAGACTGCGCATGTGGCACCAAGCAGGGCCCATCACGGAGGTGCCAGGGCGGCATCGTCATGCCGGGTGTCAAAGCTCGCCTGCCGAGGGGGCTCCCAGGACATTGGATCAGATGCGTTGTCCTCTGCAGGCAGCCAGGCGGCTTCAAAGACCAAAATCCTTACCAGGCCCCTGGGGGAAATGGCCCTTGCCTATCTCCACCCACCCCCGCCCCTCCTTTTTTTAAATTAAGTAAGTAAGTAAGTAAGTAAATAAATAAATAAATAAATGTATTTATTTTAAAGTAAGGTTTGTTGAGGCAAAATTTACAGTGAAATTCACCCTTCTTGGTGTGCAATTCTATGACTTTTGACAAACACTTAGAGTTGTATAAACACGCCTGCAATCAGAATTTGTTTCCATCACCAGGAAAAGTTCCCTCTTACACCACTGCCCTGGAGGGGGGCACTCAGCCTCTGATTCCCCTTCTACACCCTTACACCCCCACCACCCGATCTCATAATGTACTGTCTCTCTGCGCAGAACCCTCGCCCAGGACACCCCCTTACCAACACCGGACCTGAAAGCAATGAGTAGCTCATCACTGGTAAAAGCTGCCTCTCCTCCCCTGGCAAACTCCAGACCCCATGCAGACAAGAATGCAGATATTTTGTCGGTCACTGAATTCCCTAGAACCGAGAAGGTGCTCAGCTAAAGTTTGTTCAATTAATGAAAAGCCCTAGGAGAAAAGGGGGGGCTAGGGCCTTCTGTGGCCCCCTCAGCGGCTCAGCTTTGGGCATGCGCAGATGATGAGCCAGCCGCAGTCAGGGCCAGGGAACTGGGACCACCAGTACAAGAGGGATCCCTCTCCTGGCCCCTGGACCTCTGGTAGCGGTCCTGGTGGGGCCATCTGTGGTCCACGCCCCCTCTGGCAGCCACCTTTTCAGGGCACCACACCCAGCTCCCCGGAGCTGGAAACTCAGGAGTGTCTCTGGAGTCCCCTTTCTCAGCCATGTCTCTGCCCTTGACCCTCATGATCACCCCCCAGACTGTGTCCAACTCCAGCCGGATCCCTGGGGACCCCTAACTCCTCCGCCCCCACTTAGACCTCAGGTGGCCCTTTACCCTGACCTTGTCCTTGTCTCAAGCCTCACCTCTCCTTGCCTCCTCCCCCTGCCGTCCCCGCCCCCCCCCCCAACACCACTGCTGTTTGCAGTTCCAGAACTGCCTTTTCATGCCTGGGGCCTCTGTGAGTGCTCAGCATACTCAGGGCCAGGCATCCACAAGAGTTGAACGATCAGCGGCTGCCCTCGAGCGCATCCTGGTCCGCTGACCCTGCTCGGCTTTTGCTTTCCGCCCAAGCACCGTACCCCTGACCAAGGGTTTTCATCTGCTCTGTTCAGTGCCTGGCACATAGTAGGTGCTCAGTAAATGTGTGCTGTGGGTGGCCTCGTGTCTCCCCGAGATGGCCAGCCTTTCCGGGCACTCCCAGGGCTCTCCTCCTCTCCCCTCCAGCCTGGAGAGCCCCTTCCTCCAGGAGGCCCGCCCCGTGCCGCTTGCCAGGAAGAATCACCTGCTTTCCCCAGCTCCCAGGGCTTCCAAAGCAGCAGCAGCAGCTGTCGGGGCGGAAGGACTGGGCGCTCCCAGGACGGAACCACACCTGACTTCTCTGAGGCCACGTGGCTTGCACAGCGGATGCTCCATAAACGACTGAGAGTGAATTTACCACCAGCGACCCAGGGCCAGGCTGTTGCTCCGGGCAGTCCCCAAACTCTCAACTTACTTCCCTCTGGAAGCCCTGGGAGCGGCCGCGTCGCCTCTCAAGCCAGGGCTGACACGCTACCTCCTGATTGGAGAACAAGCAACGAGAAGCCCGGGGACCTCGAGGCGGCGGGGGGGAGAAACAGGAGCGCTGGGGGCAGTTTTCACTTTTCCTCCCACCTCAATTCGACCGCGGGGCAAGGAGGGAATCCAAAACAGGATTCAGGATTCTGCGGGTTCGCGAGGACGGTCCCCGCCCTGCTTGCAGCCCGGGGGCGCGCCCGGGGCGCGGGTCGGGACCGGGAGGGGCAGGGGCGGGGCCTGAGGTGGGCGGGGCGGGCTCGGGGGCGGGGCGAGGCCTGGATAGGCGGGGCGAACTTGGGGGCGGGACCTGAGGTGGGCGGGGCATGGATAGGCGGGGTCTGGATAGGCGGGGCGGGCTCGGGGGCGGGGCCGGGGCGGGGCCGGGCCGGGCCGGGGCGCGCGTCCCGGGCCGGGCAGCCGCGGCGGCCGCAGCAGGCGGGCGCACTCGGGCACAGCCATGCCGGCCGCGCGCGTGGAGTACGTCGCGCCCTGGTGGGTGGCGTGGCTGCACAGCGTCCCGCACCTGGGCCTGCGCCTGCAGCCGGTGGACAGCACATTCAACCCCCGCGATGAGAGTTACCGGGAGGTGAGTCCGCGCCGCGCGGACCCCGGCCACGGCGGGCGCCCCACGTCGCCGCGCCACCCCGTCCCCCTGCCGGCCCGCCCCCTGCGCTCCCCCGCAGCCTCGTCACCCCTGTCCCTTTCTCCCCCGGGACGCTTGGCCTCGGGCCTCCCGTCCTGGAACCTCGTGGGCCGGGGAAGCTGGAAA